ATGTAGCCGGAATTTTCGCTACCAACTATGCATTTCTCGAGCCAAAAGATCAGCAGCGTTTGGGCCTGGGGAAAACAAAAAAAACAAACACTTCCTGTTTTTTTTCCCCCACACCCTCCCTCTTTTTTTTAAGAGACTCTCTTCAGAAAACTTTCCTGGTGGCTGTTTATGGTTCTTTTCTTGGTGTTGGTGGGGTTTTTTTGGTCCAATGATTTTTTTTTTTTTTTTAAATGAATTTCCAAGAGAAAAGTCTTCCGGGGTGATGTGGGTTTGGGGGCTCCAGGGGCAGGTTGTGCCAAGATGGGGGGTCTCCTCCAGCCCCTTGGCAAGGACAGACCCACCAGGGCACAGCTGTGCCTTGAGAGTTTCCCATCAGTGGGTTTAAGGTGCAGCGTCTGCCAACGCGGGAGTCTGGGGATGCTCCTGCACAAGCAATAATAATCCACCCAGGGCCGGGCTCTCAGGAGGTGTCAGCAGGAAAAAAAGGGACAAAAAAGACAAAATGAGGCCAAGATCATTAAAATCAGGAGGAGAAGCCGCAGGGTGATGGGTTTGAATCCACCCAAGCCACTGTGGGCGTGGTGGGCGTGAAAGGGTGGAAGGGTTGAGATTCCTGCAAAAGGCACTTTTGGGTCTGTTTTCTTTGGGTTGTAAAGTTGAAGTCCATGGGAGAGCAGGACCTGGCTTGTCCTGTGCAGGGAGGCCCTTCAGCCTGGGAGAGAAAGGCTGGGAACAAAGCAGTTCAGGGAGAACATCCTGGTTGGCACCTCCATCGTGTCCATCTGGATCCTGCACCCTCTGGTGCTGAAAGCAGCAGGTCCATGTCCCTGGGTCTGCCCTGGGGGGCGTTCCTGGCTTCCCATCCCACCCTACCCAGGCTTTGCCCTGGCTTTGCCTCTGGGCATGAGTTTTCAGGTGGGAGAAGGAGTGGAGCTGGCCCAGCTGGAAGGGAAGAGCCTGGATGTGACCTGGGCGATGCAGGGAGCCCATCGCTTCCTCCTCCTCCTCCTCCTCCTCCTCCCCCCATGTGCACCTCGGGGTGGGGGGTTGTTGCTGCAGGTCCCACCTCTGTCCCCATTCCTACAGGCACATCCCCCACCTGGATGTCCCTTCTCCAGCTAGGAATGGTCAGGCTGGGAGCTGGAGGAGGCACCTGCCCATCCCCTCGTGGGCATCCCCAGGGGAGGCACCAGAGACAGGAGCACCCGAGGGGCTTTGCTGGTGAGCTGCCCAGAACACCCCCAGCCCCTGGGAGGGGGGAGAGGGGCAGCCCCCAGCCCTCCTCCCTGAGGGGCTTCCCATGCTGCTCCCACCTCTGTGGCACTGCCAGGACGCAGCCCCAGCGTGGTGGGGATGGTGCCCATCTCTCCCCACCTCCAGCCCTCCCTGCCCTGGCAGCCCCCGCATGCCCGGTGCCCCCGGCCCCCCGAGCCGTGCATGCCGTGTCCCACTGGGGTCCCACGGGGGTCCCACCGGGGGTCCCACCACCCTCACCCCCTGTTTGATGTCTGGGATGGGATTTTTTTACCTGGGGGGTGGGTGGGGGTGGGGGAGTGGGGCACAGACCCTCACAGAGGGAGCAAAGGCAGATTTGGGCGGTGCAGACCTGGCCCAGTTTTCTATGTAACGAGCATGTGAAATGTATTTGTGAGCAAAAAAAAAAAAAAAAAGAAAAAAAAAGGGATTTTTGTGACTCGTTTGGTTTTTTGGGGGTTTTTTCCCCTTTTCAGCAGATCCCAGGGCTGGGAATCACCAACCATGGGAAGTTCAACAGGGGGAAGTGCTGGATTCTGCCTCTGGGATGGGGCAACCCCGGATGGAGAGACAGACTGGGAGTGAGAGGCTGGAAAGCAGTGAAAGCAGGGAAAGGGCCCTGGGGGTCCTGGTGGGTGGCAAGTTGGACCTGAGTCAGCAGAGTGTCCTGGCAGCCCAAAGGGCCACCCTGTCCTGGGGAGCATCAGGGACAACATCACCGGCCGGGCCAGGGAGGGGATTGTCCTGCCCTGCCCTGACCTGGGGCGGCCTCACCTCGAGTCCTGGGGGCTGTTTGGGGGGACACAATGTAAAAAAGAGATGAAACCATCAGAGTGTCCAAAGGAGGGACACGGAGATGGGGAAGGGCCTCGATTTGAAGCCCTGTGAGGACACTGAGGGCACTTGGTGTGTTCAGCTGGAGGAGACTGAGGGGAGACCTCACTGCAGTTCCAGCTTCCTGGGCAGGGGCAGAGGAGGGGCAGGCACTGAGCTCTGCTCTGGGGGAACCAGGGAATGGCTGGAGCTGCATCAGGGCAGGGTCAGGATGGATCTCAGCAGAAGGTTCTTCCCCCAGAGGGTGGTGGGCACTGCCCAGGCTCCCCAGGGCAGTGGGCACAGCCCCAAGGCTGCCAGAGCTCCAGGAGTGTTTGGATGATCCTCTCAGTGACAGAGTGTGACTCTTGGAGATGGTCCTGTGCAGGACCAGGAGTTGAATTCAGTGACCTTTTTAGGTCCCTTCCAACTCAGCATATTCTGTGACTCTGTGAGGTGGTTCCTCTTCTAATCCTGAAGTGACCCCCTTGGTCCCCTTTCCCGTCCCACCAGCCCCAGGGACCAGCCTGACCCCACACAAGGCCATCCCAGCCCTTGGCTGAGCTGCCATCACCATCCCCACGAGGCCAAGGCCACCCCAGTGTCCCTTGCCCAGCTAGCTGGGCCCCCCTGTCCTTGTGTCCCCCACAAAGGGGCTGCTGCACCTCCCCAAATCCCACCGTGTCCCTCTCCCTGCTCCCACGGCAGCCCCAGTCCCGGCTTTCCCGGAGTGGGCTGGGACCGGGAGGCTGCAGGGTGGTGGAAGCAAAGCAATGCCTCCATCTGCTGGAGAAAAGGACCCTGGGCCAGTTCCAGCCTCTTCACCCCAAAATTCCATCCCCTACTGCTCCCCTGGGGCGAGGGAGGCTCCCAGCACCCCCCTCAGGGGCACGAGGGAGGGTGGCCCTGGTTGCAAAATTATCAGGATGCTGCAGCCCCCACAGGCTGGGCAAGAGAGGAAAAGAGGAAATCAAGGTTTTTTTTGCTCATTTCCTGCTCATAGAGAAGTCCTGCCTGGCACAGGAGTGCCCAGGAGGTGAAGGGTTGGGGTTTCAGTTCCTGCCTGTGCCTGAGGGTTTGGGGGCACCTTGGGGACACCCCTGGGAGTTAGGACTCACTCCTTCAGCAGCTTTTTGGGGATGAGCTGCCAGGATGGAAGATGCTGAGAGGTGGTTTCAGTGCCCACGGTGCCCACCCAGCTCAGCAGTGCCACAGGGATCGTCCCAACCTGCCCTGAACCAGGCCTGGAGCATCCCCACAGCAGTGAAGGGTTGGGAATAATGTCATGGAAAAAAAAAACCAAAACACCAGAAAATAAAGACAATTAGGAAAATGCAATTTTCCAGCAGGTGCCTTTAAAGGTCCTATTTCCCTCTAGGAACAGAAACCAATTTCCTCAGGAATCAAAGAATCTCTGGTTCCCTGTGAGGGTGGGCAGGCCCTGGCACAGGTTGCCCAGAGCAGCTGTGGATGCCCCATCCCTGGAAGTGTCCAAGGCCAGGCTGGATGGGGCTTGGAGCACCCTGGGCTAGTGGGAGGTGTCCCTGCCCATGGCAGGGTGTGGGATGGGATGATCTTTAAGGTCCCTTCCCACCCAACCCATCCTGTGGCTCTGTGATTTGCTGCTGCTCAGAGCAGTTTGTGTCACTGTCATGGACACAAATGACACACATACACCCACCCTGTGCTGACCACCATCAACAAGCCCCAAATCCTCCTGGATCTTAAATGTTCCACTTGATATTCTTCATTTTTACAGCATTTCAGCCCTGGGTGAGGTGTTGAGGGAGCAGCACCAAGCCAAGATTCACTGCCAGGCAGGGTGGGCAGCAGCCCCTGGGCACCCTGAGGTGGATGGTGCAGGAACCAGTGCAAGGTGGCATCTCCCAGAGTCCTGCACACCCTCCCTGAGCTGGTGCCAGATTCAGGGATGACTCAGCCCCTCCCATGTATTTTTATCAGCTCTAACACACGGCCTGGGCTTCACAGAAACGGCCCCTGGCCAAGGGCCAACAGGCACAACCTCCCAGTCTGCTTGGGGTCGGCTGGGAAATGGGGGTTGGAAAATAAACACATGGGGAAGAAACCCTGGAGGAGGGTGGTCTCCTCCTTCAGGCTCACAGCACCCATTGAGTCCCACCCCGGGCCCCCAAAGCCCTGAAGAGGTGCCCAGTGCCAGGGCTTTGTGGTCAGGCTCCGACAGTGAAAATACTGCGGATAAATCCACTTTCTTCATGGAATCCTCATCCCCCAAATCCTCATCCCAGCCTCGCTGCTCCCAGGGAAATCCCTGCAGTTGGTTCCCCAGAGAGGGGCTCAGTCACTCATTTACCCCACACTAATGAGGGCCATCACTGATTCATTATTCCAAAGACTGAATAGAAGGGAGGAAATATTAAAATATTTTGAGATTTAGATGGTTATAAAGGTGACTTTATCCCAGAGGGACAGGCAGCAATGGGAGGAGTTGTTCCAGCAGCTGAGCTGGGTCATTTGTGCTCTCTGAGCACCTGAAAAGTTCTGGGAGACTAAAAAATGTGTTTTCTAAGAACTGCACTCCTCTAGTGCAGCAGCTACAGGAAATCCCGGCAAAAACATGGAAGAACACAAAACAATTCCACCTTGACAACACAACCTGGAGAGAAGGGAATTAATTATGTGACTTGGAAAGTTTTTATGGTGGGAATCCCTCTTTCAACACAACTGCCACCCATGCAGCCACCTCCAAAGCCATCTGAAGGAGGGAGGAAGCTCCAGGAGCAGCTTGAGGGACACAAATCCACTGCCCCCAGGATGCCAGGGGGCTCTGGGGGCTCCAAGGAGGGAGGCCCAACCTCCAGCTTCCTTTAGCCGTGCAAGGAGCAGGTTTTGAAAGAACATCCTCCCACAAAGGGGGTGCCGAGAGTCGCTCAAGGGCGATTCCTGGCGGTGCCATGGCCAGAGCCTGGCGAGCCCGGGATGGGCAGCGGGAGCTGCTGCGGATCCAGGATATGGAGCTGGAGTCCCCCAGGCCTCCGTTGCTGCCAGGGAAAACTCCGAGGTAACAAACTGCTCTGCAAAGGGGGCCCGGGAAGGAGCTTCGGGCACGGCTGCTCCAGGGCAATGATCCAGGGTTCGGAGGGGGGTTCGAGGGGTCCGAGCGGGGCACAGCCTTGGATTGCTCAGCAGGGGCTGTCCCAGAATGAGCAGGTTTAGAGGAAGCCACGGTGGTTTCGGTACCGTTGAGGGCAGCGGAGTCAGCGCCCGGCCAGGATGGGGAAGCGAAAGCAGCGGCTCCGTCCCACTGCCCTCCTCCTCCTCCTCCTCCTCCTCCTCCTCTGGGCTCTGCCTTCTCCCTCCCCGCACACAGACCCCCGTCCTAGCCCCCCCGGGCCTGCCTAGGGGTTAGAAAGGCTTTCCCTGCTCTTGTCCCACACCTCTCCCACCGTCCTGTCCTCCTCGGGGTCACCCAACAGGTCCCCCGGGGCAGACCCCAACCCTGCACCCGCTGGGATGTCGCTCAGCACACGGGGAGCCCCCGAGGCATCTCCCACCCCCGGCACCACCCCTCCCCCCGAAAGGGGAGTCACTGTGCCACCAAACTCGCTGTGTTTTGCCCCAAAACCCCACCACCAACCTCCCCAGGCCGCTGCTTCCCCTTTTCTCTTTATTCTTCCTGTGAGCCGGCACGGAAAGGAGTCAGAACCCCCTCGGGGGGGGTGGGGGTGACACTGATCCCGGCTCCCTGCAGGGCCAGAGGACATTCCCGCTGCTCCAGCCTGGACCTGGGTGCCCCCGGAACGCCCACCCCCATGGGGGACACCCCGGCCCGGGCCCCCGACCCAGCCCTCATCTACAGCAACGTGGGTGAGTGACATCCCGACCCCGCTGTCCCCCTGCTCGCCGCGGTGTCACCTCGGATGATGGGGTGGGGATGGAGCCGCTGCTGTCCCCGCCCTGCCCCGCGGCATCGGTCACCCCTCCGGTGCTGGGGCTGGAAATATCCAGGGAGGGGGGCAGGAAATATCCAGTGGGGCAAAGAACGACGTGTCTGTCCTCCCATCCTGCTCCCACTTTCTTCTCCTCCATCATGTCTGTTCCTCCCTCCCCAGGAGAGCTGCGGGCTCACCTCGCCCCCCCCAAGGCGAGCCGAGGGGAAGGAGCTGGGAGATCCCTCTCTCAGCCCAGCCAGGAGCCGCTGCCTCCCCCACTGCCCAAAAAGCAGCTCCAGCGAGCAGAGTCCCTCCCGGAGCAGGGACCATCCCACCACTGCCAGGGTGACCCCACACCAGGGGCCGGCAGCGTCCTCTACAGCGTCCCACCATCCCACCTGCGGCACGGGGAGGGGGCTCCCAGCCCTACCCCCACTCGGGACAGACCCTCCTGTGGACCCAAGAAGCCCCTGACCAAGTCCCGAAGCCTGGGGGAAGCCTGGAGCAGCCCCCAGAAGGGCCCGTCCCCCAGCCTGAGGGAGCTGACGTTCGGGACAGCGGACGGGGAGCTGGGGCAGCTCCTGCACAGCCCGGCCGGGGTGTGTGGGGTGCTCTTGGGCTGCCAGGCAGCCACCCTGGCCCGGCTCTCGGCTCGCATCCAGGAGGAGCTGGTGGGGCTGGAGGAGCAGCAGCAGCTGCTGGAGGCAGAGCTGGTGGGGAAGCGCTGGGGAGCCCTGAGGATCCTGGAGCCGGAGCCGTGCTGTGAGAGCGGGGACGCCTGGTACTTCAGGGTGGGCTTCACCTTCGGGCACAGCCAGCTGGAGTTGGCAGCCAAGGTAAGGAGGGAACTGGTAAAATGCTCTGGGTGGTGCAGAGGGAGATGGCTCCTGCCCCGTCATGCAGCAGCTTCCCCTTTCTGCACCTACTTCTGCATTTGCTGAAGGAGATGGTGCTGCTGGCGGGGGTGACAGGGGTGACACTCCCGTGGGTGACACTCCCACGGGCCCAAGGAGAAGGGCACTGCTGGGGAACATGTCCTGGCAAGTTGTCCAGAGGGACCAGCGTACACAAAGGAGAGGCTGGAGCAGGGCTGGCTGCTCTGGAGTGCAGGATGAGACCCATCCAAGCAGCTCTGCAGCTTTCCTGAGGGGCTACTCCATCCCCCCCTCCCATCCCAGTTCTTGCTCAGGGAGTTCAAAGGGTGGCCCTGAGCTGCTGGGGTGGCCCATGGCTCTGTCCTCGCCCAGCTGGCCATGTCCTGTCTGTCCCTGCAGGTCCCCAAGCCGTGCTGCTCCAGCCTGGGGGTGCAGAGCTCCCTGGGGCCACACTGCAGCATCCAACGCCTGCTCTGCCGCTTCACCGACCGCCTCCCCCGGGAGCTGCTGCTCCCAGGAAACCCTGGAGAGCAGAGCCAGTCCCCTTCCAGGCAGGAGCCAGCCTGTCCTGCCACCCACCCCGTCCTGCAGGTGCTCATTTGTGCCGAGGTTCCCCACCAGACCCTGGCAGACTTCGTGAAGGGGTCCCAGGAGCTGCACAGGACCAGCCCTGGGCACTACGAACGCCTGGGCTGCCTCCTGCTCCTGCAGCTGTGCCTGGGGCTGGAGCACCTTCAGGGGCAGAAGGTGGGGCAGGGGGACCTCAGCCCCGAGAAGCTGCTGCTGGTGCAGTGCCCGTGTCCTCCCGGGAGCCAGCGAGGCAAGAAGGAGCCCCTGGGACTGTCCCTGCCACGGCTGCTCATCAGCAGCTTCTTCAGGGCCAAAGAGAAGCGAAGACCTTGTTCCACCAGCCAAGAGCAGGACTGGGCCGAGGGCCTGGCTGCACCCACCTCCCCAGCAGCAGATGAGCTGATGCTGGGCAGGCTGATCTATCAGATCCTGCACGTGGACATCTCTCTGGAGGACGCCTTGGGGTTCAGAAGCAACAGGCTCCCCGAAATCCCCTCCCTGTCCATCTACTCGGCGGGACTGCGGCACTTGGCCTCGCTGCTCCTCCACAGGGATCCCTCCAGGAGGGCCTCCATCCCCCAGGCCAGGAGCATCCTGCAGGTCCTGCTCTGGGGGCCACGCCAGGAGCTCTTTGCCAGGAGCAGGAAGACCCTCCCGCTGCTCCAGAGCTGGGTGGAGGTGAAGAGGGCTCTGCTGCTCCTCAGGTTTGCGGAGAACTCGGCCGGGGCAGGGGGAGAGCCGGCCTGGAGGAGTGGCTGTGCTGCCAGTACTTCCAGGAGGTCACTGAACACACCCTCTACCAAGTCACCCAGGATCTCTATGATGCTCCCTAAAGCCAAGCTCAAGTTCAGCCCACCCAGAGGTCTCCTCAAGAGCCCAGTGGACAAATCTGTCCCTGCCCATGAGCAAACTAGATGGTCTTTAGGGTTCCTTCCAACCCAAACCATCCCATGAATCTGTGAAATCCATCAGCTCCCAGTTTTCACTGGGAAAACTGCAAATCCAAAGCCACTTCCCCCGCAGCTCAGGAACGATGGGAGCTGGGACCAAGCTCCCACACACAGAGGGTGTGTTTTTACACCCTCACATGATTTCTGGCTGATGCTGAGTCTGGTTTACTGGAGCACCTCAGGAAACGGGGCTGGATGGGAGCCCCAAGCACCAATTTAGTGGCTGATTATCCTGAGGGAAGTTTGTAAGGTTCAGAATTTGCACAAAACCCCCCTCAAGCCCCCTCCTGTGGCTGTTTTAAATAACACCCCAAGCCACACCTGACAACTTAATGCACCCTCAGCAAAGGAGAAACACAGCAGCTCCCACAGCCTGAGCCTCTCAGAAAGGATTTGTGGCACAGCCACAAATAAAAATGACAGTCTGAAGGGGGAAATGCAGCAGCCCCACAGCTTCAATAAAACCTGGAGCTGAGCCTCTTAAACACTGGGCCTTTATGTGCTTCTCTGACAGAATTACACACTCCAGTGAGGGATCCAGAGGGAAACACAAAGCCAAACTTCCCTGCCCGGGGGTGTTCAGCCAGAACAGCCTCTTTGGTGTCTAGTAAATAGCTCAGGTGAGTTTATGGGCAACCAAGGAAAGGCTGATGCATCTGCTCCTTGCTGTGACACACCATGTGGGACCTGCACCCCGCTCCCCAAACCCCTGTGGGTGCTGAGGGACCATCAAGGCCCTGCTCAGGTCATTTCAATTATTATTCAGTAATTGTTAATCCGCTCACAGCCATCTAGAATGGATATTAGGGGAAATTGCTTCACCAAAAGGGAGGTCAGGCATCAGAACAGGCTGCCCATGGCAGTGGTGGAATCACCACCCCTGGGAGCGTTCAAAAAACCTGTGGGTGTGGGTTAGTGGTGCCTTGGCAGAATGGTTGGGACTCAGAGGGCTTTTCCAGCCTCAGCAATTCCATGATTCTGTGGCTCCATCCCCTGACAGCAGCAGGGACAGCCTGTGCACCCCCGGTGTGCCCACAGACACCCCCACCCTCCAGAACAGCCTCCTCACCAAGGCTGGGCCACCCAAAGCCTGGCACAGGCAGCACCCAGGCACAGAACTGGGGTTTGAGTGCCATGATGGGATTTTGGGTGCCCTGCTCTCCTCCAGCCTCCTCTCCTGTAGTATCTGCCTTGGCTACGAGATGGCAGCAGCTCCCCAAACACAGGCATCTCCTCCTGGAGAGACAAAATCTGCAGCTTTGAGCACCCCCTGCACCCCCGTTCTGGTTTCCAGCTGGGGTGACCCCCTCTCCTCCTGCCAGGGGCAGCTGGGAGCACCCAAGATCAGCAAAAACATCTCCAGAGGACTGTGATGTTTTAAGGCAGGGGCACAAACATCTCTCTGTGGAGAGAAAAACATGGCACAAGCAAAGGCAAACGGGAATTTTTCCTGACAGCCGGGTTAGGAAGGTCAGTCCTTTGCCACCAGAGGAGGAACAACCACCCCTGGTCATGGTACCTTAGCCTGGAATCTTCTGAGAGGGAAAGGACCCCCAGGGATCATCAGTCCAGCTCCTGGCCCTGCCCAGGACACCCCAACAATCCCCCCTGTCCCTCAGAGCGTTGTCCAAACGCTCCTGGAGCTCTGGCAGCCTTGGGGTCGTGCCCACTGCCCTGGGGAGCCTGGGCAGTGCCCACCACCCTCTGGGGGAAGAACCTTTCCCTGAGATCCATCCCAAACCTGCCCTGACTCAGCTTCAGGCTGTTTTGCTGAGTCCTGTCACTGCCTTTCCAAAAATCCCTGTAGGAAGAGCACGATTGTAGGGCCAGAAGAGAACTGGGAAGAGACCTGGGGAGGAGACCCCAATTTGAATTCCACCAAGAACCCCAACCTCGCACCACAATCCCTGATCACTCCCACCTCGAGATCCACCCCCTGCTGCATCTCCAAGCTGTTTTGTGGAATATTTTGGTGCATTCCACACAATCCCAGGACTTCCAAGCCCAGATCCAGCCAAAGGGATGGCCTGTGGGGTCACAGCATTCCCTGTTCCCAAAGCCAGTCTGAATCCCCCCCAGAGCACTCACACACACCCCATGCTTCTATTTACACACTCCCAGCATAACCTGGCCAAATAACCCATGCCCTGCTCCCAGGTTTTATAACAGGAAGGATTCATTGGCCTAAACTGTGCCAAACAAGCCTGCAAGTATTGGGAAAAAATGAAAATACCACTCTTTAAAGCTCTGTTTAGAGACTGATGTAACTTCAGCTCAATGATAATTGACAATTTGATTATTCCCAGCCCAAATTTTGCTAATTCCAGCACCACAATGAGCCATTTTTCCCTTCTGGTCACCACCCTGAACACCAACAGATGACTCTGGATCCCAGGAACAGCCCCTCTCCTCACCCCTCTCAACCACAATCTGCTCCCCAAGAAGAGTTCTGGAGCCTGCTCAGCCTCAAGTGCCACAACCCTTCCTAAATCACCCCCAAAAAAACTCCTGAAGCCACCCTGCCCAGCCAACACCCTCCAGTTACTGGGAACATGGAAATTACAGCTATTTAAGTGGGATATTTGATATTCAAAGCAGCCCCAAGAGCTTCTCTCACCTTCCACTTGTGACTTCCCAACCAACTCACACCCTAAGGATCCTAAAAAACCCTCCCTAGCAGAGATCCCAATTCCCAGTGGGAATGGCCAAGCTGCTGATTACTCACTTCTCCAGGATTGCTGGATTATTCCAAGCCCTGGCAGAGCACATCCACGAGTTCCAAAGTCAAGCAAAGAACGAGCAAAGCCTTTCCACACCTGCAACTTTTAATGGTTGGGGCAGTTCCAGAGCCACCTCTTCAAGAGTGCAAAGTCTTTTTGTTTTGTTTTTTTTATTTTAAACAGCTTAAAACCAGCGATAAAAAGTAAAATATAAATTTTTATTTAGAATTAAAAGCAAATACTTCAGTATCACAAACACAATATTAAACTTCAAGAAATATACTGCTAATTTGGAGGGAGCATTTATTTGTGGTTTTGTTTTTGCACAACCATGCACACGAAAAAAAAAATTTAAAAAAAAAAAAAAATTCCAGAGGAAATAAAACGTGGAGCCCCAAAATTTTCAACATCTCACCACCAACAAAAGACCAAACCAAACGAAACAAAAAATAAAATAAGCAGCTGGGTCACAACGTTTCGTACAGAGTTATATATATATATAGACTGGAATAAGATGTTGACAAAATTTCTACAGGAATCATCTTTATGGACAACAAGAAAAGCTCTAAAGAGGCAAACACTGCAATCTAATCTTCTTCTGCTGAGTCTCTCTCCAACGTGTAGGCCATGAAGCAAGCGTCTGGTCTCTTGGGGACAAGGGGATGCCCTGGTCTCACAATCTCAAAGCCCAAAAAGCTGAAAGTTCGGAGCAATGCAGCTACAAAACATAAAGGAGACAAAAGTTTCACCCACGTGGCACTGCCCCCTTCAACAGCAAAGCTCAGCTGAGAGCTGCAGGTTGTACCTCCAGGGGAGCTGCGAGGGGAACACCCACCTCTGTCATCTCTGTTCTTGTGGAAACAAATGAACACGTGCTCCACTCGAAGCTGTTCTTCAGCGAATTCCAGAAGAACTGCAAAACTGAGGGAGGGAGAAACACGAGGTGTCAAGTTTTGAATGTCCTGAAGGGACACACAGAGGATGGAGCTCAACTCCTGGCCCTGCACAGCCCCAGCAATCCCAGCCTGGGCCTGAGCGCTGTTCCAACACTCCCTGGGCTCTGGCAGGGAAGAGCTTCCTGCAGAGATAGTGGGCCATTCCACACAGGAATTCCTAAGGAAGAGGCATGGCTTGGAGCCTGCCACCAACAGGAGATCCCTGAGCCCCAGGCTGACCTTGAGGGCAGAAATCTAAGTCTTAATGACACAGAAAATGTGTCTTCTGGGGCAGCTGAAGGAGGAGCTGCAGTGACAGAGTCTGAGCCAGGCTGGAGTTCCCCAGGGACAAAACAGCCCAAAATCCCAGACAGTGGGATCCCAAATCCCAGGTGGCTCTGCCTGCAGCTCAAACCAGGACCACTGAGCTGCAGCCTCTCCCAGGAGAACATCCAGCAGCATCATTTCAGCTTTCAGAACATGAAAAGTTTATTCCACCCCACTGCCAAGAGAGGAGTTCATCCTGAATTTTCTCTCACCTGTCCTTGCTCCCCTCAGGCAGAGCACCACTGGGAATTTCTATGTAGAGGTTGTTGTTGTTCAGCACTGCTCTCCAATTAATGTGTTTGGCATCTGTAAGCCTTGACTGGACATTGAGAATTCTTGTCCTGTTGTTAGATGTTAGTTCTTCTGTTACATTCAGCCGATTATCCTGCAAATAAATACGTGCAGGGTTATTTTTTCCCCCCCTCAGGCAAGGAACACCTCCAAAAAAAAAAAAAAGCTGCTTTTTGTGCCTCATACTCACCGAATAAAATAAATTAGCTGAAAGATTGTGATCCCTCTGACTATTCCCTCGCCCACCTGGGATCTTCAGGGGTGGGTGAGGGACATCAGGAGCACCACCGAGGCCCCGGACCCAGGTTACTACAGCAATTGAAGGGAACCCTGGAACTGCAAAAGGGATCATCAGACAGTCACACGGGGACCCACAAAGCATTGACACACTCATCAGACGGCGAGATTTAAAGAAATAAAGCAAGCCTAGGCCAAGGGGCTCCTCCCACTGCATGCCCAGCAAGGGGGAAGACAAAGGAGCCTCCAGAGCAGGGGCAGGAGCTGCTTCGTGCCCACAAAGCTGCTCCTGCAGTTTAAGGGAAAAGCCTTTCCTGCAGGGAAAGACCAAGTCAGAGAGGAAAACTCCTCTCGGTTTGACGTGAGCCAGGTGTGTTTCTGTCCCAGGCCAGGCCTGAGGTGATGTCAGAAGAGCCATTCTGCAGGAATGTGCTGTCTTCTCGCTCAGCACAAACCCCAGCCCAGCAAAACAAGGCTGGTTTTTTTTTTTTTTCCCTGGGATATCCAGCCCTGGTTACACCTCAACCCTTCCCACCAGCACTCCCAGCTCAGGCAACTCCAGGAAATATTTCAAGCAGGGGACATCTGTGAGATCACACTCCAGGAGCCTGAGGAGCTGAGCCCACACCTGAACACCTGCAAACCTCCAAACCCCCTTTGCCAGTGAATTCCTCGCTGCTCCAGGAGGGGAAAACATCGAGTTTCGAGGATGCAAAGCTCTTTTTTTTTTTTTATTTTTTTTTTTCTCGAAGTTCCTGCCCACCCTCCGGAGCCCAGTTTAACTCCTCCCGTGGCAGAGCAGAGCTGGCCCCTCCCTCTGCACCATCCTTCACCCGCAGGCTCAACTCTTGAGTTGCGTCATCTCAGCAGATGCAGCAATCGAGGCCCTTGGGGAGATTTTCACAATCGTCCTGTCTCGAGTGCCAGGAGCCACTGC